AGGGGATGATTTCAATCTGAGCTGCAGGAAGGAAACAAAGATGGTCAGAAACAAAGAGCTCAGAAACAGGGTGAAGACGCTGCTTCTGAGCCAACAGATGAATCCAAAAACCCATTGACTTTCTTCTCACGACATCACAGGATTACTTATACAATCATCTAGTTCATGATAAAAACAGAGTCTTATTTTAAAAATCAGAGCCAAAAAAACTATTGCTTTCCAAACTGTTTAAGGGCTTAGAACAGTGGCTTGTCTAAAGCTTGATTTAAAATAATCTTTGCTGCTGGGCTTGGGAAAAAAAACAATAGAATCAGAGAGAAAGCCCACAGGACCACTACTTTTTGATCAGCTTTAAAGAAGCAGGCTCTGTATAAAAGAAAAGTGTTTATACCAGATGAATTCCAGGACATATAATAAAAAAAAAATCTAAATTTATGTGTTGAAAGTGTTTATTGCACATGTTAAAGGCTTTTCCACTCAAAAGCAGAGACACATTAAGAGTAGGGGTGTGCAAAATAATCGTCATGACGATGGATCACGATTCTAATTTTTGTGATTTACTGCATCGATTCTTAATTACCAAAAAGGAATACATAAAATACATGAATGGTTGGCACACATCAGCCAAAAACAAGTGGAATACAACTTTCAGTCCAGCAGATGTCGCTGCGGATACTGCGACGATTCGTTCAAAAACAAAACATGGAGACTGAGAAAATTTGCCCAGCTCCGTCACATTCCAAGTCTGATGTTTGGATGCATTTTGGCTTTAAAATCAAAGAAGATAAAAACAAAATTGATAGGATGCATGTGATTTACAAAAGGGGAAATGTCAAACATTTGAATGTTTTCGTTTCATTGGTTTAAAGGACCACTGAGGCCATGTAAACGGCACTGTTATTTTAAGTTTTATAAATCCTAAGCGCTTTTTGTCAGTGTGTCCACGCTTTCAGTTGCTTTCAGTTATGTATCAATTGAAGACACGATCCAGAGCATACCCAGCCAGTTAGCCACTGGTAAGGGCTGGATCTTTTTCTTACAGAGTTCAGTGAAAATATCGCAATATTTCAAGTATCGCGATGCACCGTGATAGAATCGCATCGTGGCATGTGAATCGTGATTCGGATCGAATCGTGGCTTCTTTGGCAATACCCACCCCTAATTAAGAGTCAAAACAGAAAAGCATAAAACCACGTCTGGGTGTGAACTTTTGTACTCTGAAATAACCTGAATAAGAACTGTTCAGTTCTACAGCAGTGGAAGACGAAGCAGAAAAAAAAGTCATCATTTGGTGTATCAATTATTAAAACTGGTCATGATCATATTCTGAACTGAGGAGTTAAAAACTTTCAATTAAGACAAAACTCAGCCTCAGGTTAAGACAAGGCAAGTTTATACATCCCATTTCAGTACAAAGACAAATCAAAGCTTTTAACATGAATTAAACAACAAAAAAGGAAATAAAGTCAAGATAAAAACATGAAAAAAGCAGCTAGCAAAGGAATCAAAACTCTTTCAGTGACTTAAACTTGTGGTTTTGTAGTTTCTTAAAATAATAATTTAGCCTGTGGAGTAAAGCCCCAGCATAATATTTACAACAGAAGTAATGTTTTAATCTGTTTCTATGAGAGAGCAGAGAATGAGAGGTATAAAAATACAGCAAACATGCTCATTAGGGCCACGATTTTCTGTGGATTTACTGTTAGATCTGATCTGTCAGACAGCCTAGAGCCAACCTGACTGAGTGTATTTATACCCACAGAGTGACAGCTCGGCTCTCAGATGCTATATTAAGCAGAGGGATGTTATGTAAGAGTGCAGCCACATTAGCACAACAAACAGAGAAGTTTGACATATCAAACACTCCTCTGTAGTCTGACTTTAAAACTGATCCAGGATCAGAATAAACCTCTAGGTTTGCTTTAAAAGATTACCATCAAATAAACTCAGTTTGGACCCAAAGATCAACTTACTGCCTGTAAAAAATATAACATAGCATCAAAATTAAATGTTTGAGCAGCGCTAGGCTTTCTCTGCCTGTGGGCTGGTACCCGTCTGAATGGTTGGGGGTTATGGTGGGGGTCTCCACCCCCTCGGTCCACCTATGGTTTGGCCCCTTGTCTATCTCCATATGTCCCCTACAGCCTTCAGCATGGGTCCACCTGCCACTTGCTGCTTCTTTTTCTTTTAGATATTCGTAAAAAAGGTCTGAGCTACCTGAATTTGCTTGAATTGGGAGGTTAAAGTCAACCCTCTACTTTAAATATTTTGTGCAATGAAGCTGCAGCATCGTAACATGTCAGGGCATGGGGTCACTGCATAGCCAGCTGGAAATGATGGTGGAAAAAAGTGTATTTATACTTTAAGGGTGAGAGCTGCAGCAACTGATCCAGCCTCTGCAGATCTTAGACGTGTTTAAGATGGGATGAAACCGACACCGGCTGAGTAGCTTCAGCTGGATGAAGCTGGTGCTCGGACATGAACTGGTAAACGGTAAAAAATATCTTATGTTTGGACAACTTTGCAGGGTTTTTGGAAACAAAGAGCAAACTCAGACAGAAAAGCTGCAGCCTACACACCAACACAGCCTCAGACGCTAAGGCCCGCGTGCTGCAGTCTCCTCTCTACTGTAATTAGCTCTACGAATGTTAATCCCGGATGAATTCAGCATTTCAACATCAAAGCAGATGTTGAACAAAGCCCCCGCCTAAAATTAGAGCTGATGTGGGAGCAGCAGATATTTATACGTACAGCTGCAGACTTCTGATTGGGTTCTAACATCCAGCAGCGTCCCCCTCAGACCGAGCCCTGAGGCCTTCCACGCTACGATATTTTCTTCTGTTCCGGCAGATAATAAAACATTTCATGAAGAAGAAGAATCTAAATGATGAGAAGAGGGGGGGGCTGAGGATAACTGCTCAGTGGGTTTCATAAGAAATTAAAAATAAACATAATTTATTAGCATTTAAACACCTTTATTAAGGTTTATACCACAGTATATGAAGTCACATAAGCCTGATTTATTTCTGTAAATCTTTAAACCTGAAATAAAAATAAATAAATCTTTCTTCAATGAAACAGGAATGCTTAGTAGTGCAGTGTTAAGCACTGCTGCCTTGCAGCAAGAAGGTTTTGGGTTCAATTCCCCGGCCCAGAGTCTTTCTGCATGGCGTTTACATGTTCTCCCTGAGCATGCGTGGGTTCTCTCCGGGTACTCCGGCTTCCTCCCACAGTCCAAAAACATGACTGTGAGGTTAAATGGCTTCTCTAAATTCTCTTTAGGTGTGAGTGTGAATGGTTGTTTGTCCTGTTTGTCTCTGTGTTGCCCTGTGATGGACTGGTGACCTGTCCAGGGTGGACCCCGCCTCTCGCCCGTAGACAGCTGGAGGAAGGCACCAGCACCCTTCCCGACCCCAACAGGGTTAAAGCTTGACAGCAAATGGATGGATGGAATGAAACATGTTAATTGTGAATTCAAGTTTTTTTTTTCCATTTATACATAAATTGTTGTTTAGAGATGTTTTAATGGGACCATTTCTGTTTATAATGGTGCAACACTGAGAATTACGGTGGCCCTGAAGTGCAAACTGCAACTACAAATCTAAAAGCGCAACTACATTAAGGGTTAACACAATTCCATTAACCTACCGGAAAAGGTAGG